CAGAAAAAAGGACGTTGAAGCTGTGCTGTAGCATTAGTTCTCTCTTGCCCTTACTATGTTACTATTAGCCATGTGCTCCAGACCCCTAATCATTTTTGTTGCCCTCCGCTGGACTCTTTCCAATTTTCCACATCCTTCTTGTAGTGTGGGGCCCAAAACTGGACACAGTATTCCAGATGAGGCCTCACCAATGTCGAATAAAGGGGAACGATCACGTTCCTCGATCTGCTGGCAATGCCCCTACTTATACAGCCCAAAGTGCCGTTAGCCTTCTTGGCAACAAGAGCACACTCATATCCAGCTTCTCGTCCACTGTGACCCCTAGGTCCTTTTCTGCAGAACTGCTACCTAGCCATTCGGTCCCTAGTCTGTAGCAGTGCATGGGATTCTTCCGTCCTAAGTGCAGAACTCTGCACTTGTCCTTGTTGAACCTCATCAGTTTTTTTTTCGGCCCAATCCTCTAATTTGTCTAGATCCCTCTGTATCCGATCTCTACCCTCTATATAATAATATAAATATAACAAATAATAAGACAGTTTAATGAATGACAGGGGATAGAGTTCGAGCCCGTGGTTTCTATACTCAAATCTAAATTCTTCCTAGGCCTTCTGGCAGATGTTCTTGCAATTACTTTAACTTTTTTCTCAGAAATGTATTTAATATACTTCCATTTAGTGAATTAAATTTCAAAAGAATGAGAGGTGGAGACGGAAGTAGGGTTCACTTCAGTGTTTTCTAGAAGGGATAGGTGCATCATTTCAGAAAAAAATAAAATTTAACCCAAATCTGTTTCTACCCTAAGGGTGTAGAAGGAGAGGACTGACAAATAGGTTGGGGAGGCTCAGCTGCACTTCCTCTCCTCTATCCAGGACATCAGACAGGATTTAAAGGGTCAGGGACAAGATATAGAGATTTTTTTGTCTCTTGATAATGCAAGAAACTCCAGCCCCCTCACAAATTTCAACCCTGCAGGAAGGAGGCAGAGTCTCTCCCCTTTCACTCACCATAAGAGGAGGAGGAGAAGTGAGGATGCCAGGCGGAAGGGAAGAGCTTGTGGGGGATGTGGGCAGATGTAGGGGCAGAATTGATGGGGTACAGCAGATGTGGGGTTGTGGGGGCACACTGATCTAGGGTCTGGGTGTAGGCTGTAGGGCTGATCTGATGTTGGAGCTGGGGGACAGGCAGAATTGATGTGTCAATGAGATGTGGGAACTCTGAGGACAGGATTAATTTAATACAGGCATAGAAATGTAAATCTGGACAGGCCTCCATCCCTCCACGCTGAGGCGGTACTAAGTAAACCTTGATTATCCCTTTATAGGATAGTAGGTTCTAGTACTTTACTATCCTTATAGTTTGAATTTTTTTTCTAATATCTAACCTAAATCTCCCTTGCTGTATTACCCCCAAAATTAGACTCCAGGCACCCTTACAATGGCCTGCCTATATCAGTAACCCACTTGTCAATTTGTCTGTTTTGGTAGGTGGAACGGGGTGGCCCGCCCTAGAGGAATTGCCGGGGTTTTACTAAGGGTTTCTCTCTGACCCTTAGAGAACTCCCCAGGGTAGACTTACTCTGTTGACCCTTGGGAGGACACGGATGCAGCCTTCCGATTGAAGGATTGACACTCAGGCAGTAATTCTTCAAAAAACAAAATAATCTTAATTTAATATACCAATATTCCCTGATACAATAAACCTTAAAAGCATATTTCAAGAAACAAAATACAAATCCCATTAGCACATGTATGCATATCAAAGTACCCAATACTGCAATACAATACAGTTGGAAATAGCTTTTAAGTGGTTACATTCTACATGTGGTGATCAATCACATGTAGAATGCTGACAGCAAGTTCTTACCTAAAAAATTAAAATTGTATACATAGTAACAAACATACATACACAACATCCAACTTTATCATCTCTGGCATACACACTCATATGTCTTGGTTCCTTATACTATGGTCATCATGCTTACTTCTCTATAGTTTTTTTTCCCCCTCAAATCTGACTACAGTCCTTTTGCTCTGTCACAACTTCTTAGCTGTCACTGCTGCCGCAGCTCTCCATTCTTCGGTGATTTCACCTCTCTTCTGATCTTCTTTCTTCCTCTTCTGTTTCTCCAGAATCCCCAGTCGACAACACTCAGACGTTTAGTAGGTTCTAGTCTCAAGATCAGGCCCAGTGTTGTTAGAATTACTGTTAAATTGGGAACCCCGACGTGCATAGTTGCAACACTTACACTTAGAAAAACCTTGTATTTGCAATAGTTTCATTAGCACAGTTTGCAAAATCACAAACACTCCATGGAGCAAGATAGATAGAGAGAATACAGAATGAGATCTGAGCATCCATAAATTCACACCATCCCTCGCAAAAGCACCTGAGGTGTTAGTCATCCTCATCATGATTGTCGTCCTGTCATCTCTCAAGGCACGTAGGCTCGGAAACAGCTTTTATAATATGTTACTCTGATGCAACTCTGCCTATTGCATATGCAGTCAGCCTCTGACTAGTTCAGAGTCTAAAGATAACCTTAGTTCACAGTGTAAAAGGCAGAAGGTAGGGATAGGTCCTCTAAACAGTTACTCCAGCACCAATTCTCCCAATGATTTCAATCAGACTATGCACATGTGTAACTCCGCAGAATTGGGGCTGTGTTTAAGACAAGATCCACTAAAAGAAGCAGAGGAAATGTTAACTTAAAATGGGAAATAATACTATCTATATACAAAATAATATTTAACATATTTTTGTGTACGTGTGTTTTTCTATTTCTCTCTCTGCCCTTCCACTCTGTGGCCCTCTTTCCCAACAAAATATTGTAGGGGTGTGGAGGATATTTGCTTAGCATGGGTTAGTGTTTGCAGGTCTCACGGAAGAAGTGAGTCCTTATATCTCAGTTGTAGTATAACTGAGTGTATAATCTGAGTTTTCACAGGAACTGAAGCTATTTGCTTTTAAATTTGGACATTTTAAGTTTTCATCACTTTTTATTATTCATCTGTAGCTCCTGTCCAGATAAATATGTATGTCTCAAAGTTGGGGAAAATCCTGATTTTAACTACACAAGTTTTGATACATTTGGCTGGGCCTTTCTTTCCTTGTTCCGCCTGATGACACAAGATTACTGGGAGCGTCTCTATCAACAGGTATCAGATTTACTTAATTCAAATATTAAATAAAGCAGTAATGTAGTTGGATAAATGTATAAAGTATTTAAAGTAAAAAGAGAGGAAAAGAAGTCTTAAAATGAAATGACGGGCGCAAGTCACAGAATAAGTGACTTTACTATGCACATCCATATGATGGGAGTACTACAGCTAACTCAGAATACAAACCTTCTGCTTCTTTCAATAAAGAATTTTTACAAGGAAATTAAACATCATGAAAAACACTTAATAGCTTGTTATATGATGGGTCAATAAGTACAAAGCAGAAGATTTTACTAGCCTGGAGGAAAGATTCAAAACATGCTACATCTCTATCACCCAAAAGGGGGACCATAAGGTACTGTGAGCGGTAACATAATACAAAGCTTTGCACCTCTGAATCTGACTAAAACTCTTCCTATTTGATGGCTGTTTGGCAAGAGCATAGCCTCTCTGTACTGCGGTGTTTGCCAGACTTCCTGCAAGGGGACAACAAAATGCTTCCACAGCCCTTTAAACCAACCCTAATGCGCTGCAGTCCCAGGGAGTGTAGTGCAGCAGAAGGGAATTGAGATGTCACCATGCACTGCTCCAGTAGCGCAACAGAGCCTTCCCCTCAGATGTGCAGCTCCCTTTCTGTTCACCCAAACTGAGCTCTACTGGCCACTATCAGGAAGGTCATTAGGGCTCATTGAGGGCGGTATAGGAAGTGGGAAAGGAAGCCCAAATAGGCTGTGGGGTTTTAAAGGTTTTTTTAAAGCATTTATTCAGGAATATGGAAATGTGACCAAGGTTTTTAAAAATACCTTAAAATAATATTTACTACTTTCATATAGTGCTTTACATCTTCAATATGCTTTACGAGCATTAACTAATCTAATTACACTAGAAGTGTCATGTCATACTCCTTACTGTAGTGTGTACTTTGTGCTTACAGACTCTCAGAGCTTCTGGGAAGATCTACATACTCTTTTTTGTGCTGGTCATCTTTTTGGGCTCATTTTATCTGATCAACTTGATCCTGGCTGTAGTGACTATGGCATATGAAGAGCAGAACAAAGCTACTATTGCTGAAACTGAGGCAAAGGAAAGGAAGTTTCAGGAAGCCATGGAACTGTTGAAAAAAGAGCAAGAGGTCCATAAACTATTCCCTTGTTAATGTTTGGCACTCTCCATTTACAATATACACCTCTATCCCGATATAACGCTGTCCTCAGGAGCCAAAAAATCTTACCGCGTTATAGATGAAACCGCGTTATATCGAACTTGCTTTGATCCTCTGGAGCGCGCAGCCCCCCACCCCCGGAGCGCTGCTTTACCGCGTTATATCCAAATTCATGTTATACTGGGTCGCATTATATCGGGGTAGAGGTATTTGTAGCAGAATGTATCAGTCCCTCCTTATCTTTGAGTGTGTATAAACAATGACACTGTGATCACTGATGAGAACAGGTGCCAGCTACTATCTTATTCAAAGTTATCAGAGTGCTTTCTAGGGCAAATAGAAACAATTCCTCACTCATAAATAGTATGTGTGAATAGTGAACATAAAAATGCAACATTAGTTCATGGTACTGTAAGCAAAATAGTATTGTAAAGGCTGATGCGTCTAAAATTCCACCAACCTATAGTTTTCATAAGGACACATGAATATTGTTGTTTTTTCATTCCATTGCTCAGCTGGCCCATTCTTGTGGGTAGGCTGGGTATTGAAACATACAATAATTCTATTCTTTCACTGCTTTAGAGTTTGATCCTAAGCCAATTGGAGACAATCAAAAGACTGCAATTGACTTCAATGGATCAGGCTCCTAGAGAGCAGGATTCTTGTATATTTGAAATATTGCTGAAAACGCAGATTGGAGTGATGACAGCAGACCACTGTGTGACTGCGATCCTGAAGATACCCAACAGAGAAGTATCAGAGGGGTAGCCGTGTTAATCTGGATCTGTAAAAGCAGCAAAGAGTCCTGTGGCACCTTATAGACTAACAGACATATTGGAGCATGAGCTTTCGTGGGTGAATACCCACTTCGTTGGATGCATGTATCCGACGAAGTGGGTATTCACCCATGAAAACAGAGAAGTTGTGATTTTCAGTGTTTAAGTCCTCATTTTGAGAAGTGGATAGATGTGCTAATACTCAAATTTTAAACTGATTCTGTACAATCTGTAATATGTACCCAGAAAAATGGGAGTTAAGTGGTATGAATGATCCAAAGTTTTATATTTTGCCTCTGACAGGGGGAGTATCTGTTTGCACACAAACACTGCATGTAACCAATTGCTCAATTCTCTATATGGAGTGGGAAATCCTTCCTAATACCTTCAGTGATCAGCTTGCACCAGAAACATGAAGTTAGTATTTTAACCATCTATATGAAATGATGATAATTGTTAACAAGAATTATAGAGCACAGCAGTACTTTTCCCTTACTGATATCCTAACTCTGTATCTAGAGTATCAACTATGTTTTTTGTTTGTTTACTTTTAGGCATTGGCTGCTAAAGGAAATGATACAAAGTCACTTTGCTCCTTTGAAATGTCACCTTTACCCTCCAAAGAAGTCAAAGATAGAAGCAAGAGGAGAAATAAAAATATGTCCTTAGGGAGAGAAGATTATGGGGAAGCTCAAAAGGTTCCCAAATCACAGTCCAGTAGCCGTCAACAAAACTTGGTAATTAATTATCTAAATCGAAAATCCTTATAGCTTTGTCAGTTTTAGAACAGAAATTGCTCAAAAGCACAAACACAATCCCATTAAGAAATAGAATGCTGTATTTATAGATATAAGCTAGCATCTGCTTCTTTGGTCTTTAAAACTAAATCTCTTTTCAGCTGAGAAAGAAGCAGATAACATTTCAATGCAAAAGGAAAACTTTTGAGAAAGTCATGTGTGAATGAAAACAGAGAAGATGTAATGAAAGTGAGGCATCAACATGCACTGAAGCATTTTGCTATAACAAATATTTTCATGAACATTTAAAATATATGTAGATTAAAAATATGTTAACATTCTGTGTAATACTGGGAAATTAAAAAAAATACATTGGAACTGGAATTTAATTAACATTCCATAACAGACTTTTGCACTGATGCAGCTGCACCACTGTAGCACGTCTGGTGAAGATGCTATATGCTGATGGGAGAGCGCTCTCCTGTCAGCATAATTAATCCACCTCCATGAGAGGCGGAAGCTATGTCGGCAGGAGAGCATCTCCCACTGACATAGTGCCGGTGTGGGAAGAGCTTAAATCGCTGTAACTTGCATCGCTCAGGGGGCTGTCTTCACACCCCAAGCGACGTAAGTTAGATTGACTTAAGCAGTAGTGTAGACCTGCCCTAAATTAAATCATTGTATGAGTAACTTTATTTAATGTTGGACTTACAAACCTTCCATGGTTGATTGAGGTACTAAAAATCTTTATCATTCTCAAGAAACATATTGCATGATGCATTTTTCCCTTTTTCGTTTTTTGGGACTTTTAGATTCTCCTTGCACTTACTTGTGGTCCCAGTGCAAACCAAATGAAATGCAGGCTCAGCCATGGAAGCATATTCAATTTCCAGTTAGCTGGCAGAGACATTGGCTCCAAAACTGATTTTGGTGATGATGAGATCTTCAGTGTTTTGGAAAATGAAATCCAATGCAGGTCACTATTGATGACACCTATGTTGATGACAACCAAGTGTGCAAAGTTAAATGAGCCATAATTATGACTCTGCTACTCCAAATTAGAACTGGCAAAATTTCTAGTTTGTGTGAAATTAGAGATTTCAAAATTTGTTTAGATGTGGACCAAACCCAAATTTTTTGACATTTCCCATTAATTGGAAATTCTGTAAAATGTTTGTTTTGGAAATACCAACACTTGGTATTTCCAAAATGAGATATGTGCCCTGGGACTCTAGCAGCTGCTGACCGAAAATAACATGATTCATGTAAATTTCAGTCAGCAGCTGCCAGGGATCTCATGGTTCCTGGGAAGCCCCACCATGTGAACTGCTCTGGCCAGGGACCCTAAGGCTTCTAGACTCCCAGGCCAGCTGTCTCCCCAGACTGTCTGACTCTCAGGGAAGCTGGCTCACCAGGTTGTCGGATTTGTGCAGCTTGTGAGCTAGTTGGTATGGGAGTCTAGAAGCCCTGGGGTCCCTGCCCCCAGGGCAGTCCACATGGTGAGGCTTCCCAAGAGCTGCAGAATGTGGAAGTCCCGCATCTCTGGCCCTGGGACAGTACACATAGTGGAGTTGCGCAGTGTAGATGGAGGAGGCACTGTTTGGGTAGAAAGGTACATACCTGGGTTCAGGCCGTATTTTACTCACCAGAAGCCTGGGGTCCCCAGAAGTCCACTAGACAATCTGGCAGGAACCAGCTAGTCTGGCAGGAACCAGCTAGTCTGTGGTTCATTGAGCCTGACATGTTTCAAACTTATTTCTTGAGGAGTAAAAACTTTCTAGGTCTGGTCTCTGCCCAGAGGTGATTTTTTTTTAATATGAAAAATTTGAGAAAAAACAGAGCATCCATTTTTTGAGTATGAAAAAGCAACACTACAGATTAGTTCAGGATAGGAAAGGCAAAATATTGTAATCAAAGAGAAGTTTTAGATGGGCAGAATCTCATTAACCAATCTGAAGTTTGTTCAAAATACTGGAAGGCAAATACCCAGGGTGACCAGACAGCAAGTGTGAAAAATCGGTACGGGGGTGGGGGGCTAATTGGAGCCTATATAAGAAAAAGACCCAAAAATCATGACTTTTCCTATAAAATCGGGACATCTGGTCACCCTACATATACCCTGGGAACTGTCATGGCCACAAGGGAGTCAGGCCTTTATTTTTTAACCCGTTCTAAATGCTATTATTTCCTATAGAAGAGGCCCATTTATTTCACTGCATGTCATCATTCATATTAATGTCCATGGCTATCCCTGTCTAATTGTTTCCTCACTTTGTACTCTTTATGTTACTAACCGTGTTTACTTCTTTAAACAGACTCCTGTATGTGATGAAGTGAGCAAGAAGCATTTGCCTCATCATCTGTCAGTGGACTATTTTAATGAGCCACTACAAAGTCAAAGGACAACTGGGGCAGTCAGTACCATTACCTGTGTCCTGGAGGGTAAGTTATTTCTCATCATTTTTTAATTGAAACCTAAGCATATGTTGATATAAAAGATCAAAATCTTTAAAAAACAAACAAAAAACAGACCGGGGGGGGGGGGGGAATAGAGCCTTTGCAAATGCTTCAGTTAGGAAATGCCAGAATAAATGTTCTGTGCATCCTTAATTTGGCTCCCTTGTGAATATATACAGTATTATGATTTTATACCTGTCTTTCTAGAGGGGACCTATCTTTAAAAAGGATAACAAAGAAGAGCCAGGGGATTGTAGTCCAGTCAGCCTAACTTGGATACCTGGAAAGATATTGACACAAATTATTAAACATTTTGTAAGCACCTAGTGGATAATAAGGTTATAAGGAATAGCCAGCATGGATTTGTTAAGAATAAATCATCCCAAACCAGTCTAATTTCCTCCTTTGACGGGGTTACTGGCCTAGCGGATAGGGGAGAAGCAGAAGATGTGATATATCTTGATTTTTTAGTATGTTTTTTGGCACAGTCCCACATGACATTCTCATAAGCAAACTTGGGAAATGTGTACTAGATGAAATTACTATAAGGTGGGTGCAAAACTTGTTGAAAGATCATACTCAAAGGCTATGTCTACACTGCACATCACTGGTGGCAGTGTGTAGGGTATGTATAGCTACGCTCCACAGAGAAAAGCATGTTGCGATGTGAAAGGCTCTGGCGGGAGAGGCAGTGGGGAAAAGCTGTGGCAGAGGGGAGCTGCCAGAGTCTTTCTCCGCTGTCTCCTCGCACCAGAGCTTTTTCCTGCTGCTGGAGCCTTTCCGTGCAGTTGGAAAAGACTCTGGTAGTGGGTAGGCCGCAGGACACTACACTGCTAAAAATAGCAGTGTAGCTGGAGGAGGCACTGTTTGGGTAGAAAGGTACATACCCGGGTACGTACCTGGGTTCAGGCCGTATTTTACTCAAGGTATACTTATAAAGACTGCAATCTTTTGATGGGATATCTCCATTAATTTTTTTAATGGGAGGGGGAGGGATAGCTCAGTGGTTTGAGCATTGGCCTGCTAAACCCAGGGTTGTGAGTTCAATCCTTGTGGGGGCCACTTGGGGATCTGGGGCAAAATCAGTACTGGTCCTGCTAGTGAAGGCGGGGGGCTGGACTCAATGACCTTTCAAGGTCTCTTCCAGTTCTAGGAGATGGGATATCTCCATTAATTATTATGGAATCTCCATCATTGGAAATTTTAAAGAGCAGGTTAGACAAACACCTGTCAGGGATGGTTTAGATAATACTTAGTCCTGCCATGAGTGTAGGGGCCTGGACTATACGATGTCTTGAGGTCCCTTCCAGTCCTATAATTCTATGATTTACTTTTAATACTTCCCAGAAGGGTATAGTAAATAATATTTTTAAAATAATTCCCCCCAAAATGGATGATGGAGCCAAAAATGTTCATACTTAGGAGCCCCTGGAAGTGGGAGAAGAGGGGATATAGGGCTTCCAACACCATATGGCCAGTTCAATTGACAAAAAGTGGTCAGGACAAAAGGAGGGGTGGTGCAAGTGTTACACTGTTGATTCATATTTAGCTTGTGATCCACTATGACCCCCAGATCCCTTTTTGCAGTACTCCTTCCTAGGCAATCATTTCCCATTTTGTATATGTGCAACTGGTTGTTCCTTCCTAAGTGGAGTAGTTTGCATTTGTCCTTATTGAATTTCATCTTATTTACTTCAGACCATTTCTCCAGTTTGTCCAGATCATTTGGAGTTTTAATCCTGTCCGCCAAAGCACTTGCAACCCCTCCCAGCTTGGTATCATCCACAAACTTGATAAAAAGAAGAACAGGAGTACATGTGGCACCTTAGAGACTAACAAATTTATTAGAGCATAAGCTTTCGTGGACTACAGCCCACTTCTTCGGATACATATAGATAATCCATTCTATATGCATCCGAAGAAGTGGGCTGTAGTCCACGAAAGCTTATGCTCTAATAAATTTGTTAGTCTCTAAGGTGCCACAAGTACTCCTGTTCTTCTTTTTGCGGATACAGACTAACACGGCTGCTACTCTGAAACTTGATAAGTGTACTCTTATCTAAATAATTAATGAAGATATTGAACAGAACTGGACCGAGAACTGATTCCTGCACTTGATATGCCCTTACAGCTTGACTGTTTACCACTGATAACTATTCTATGGGAACGGTTTTCCAACCAGTTATGCACCCACCTTATGGTGACTTTATCTAGGTTTTATTTTCCTAGTTTGTTTATGAGAAGAGCATGCGAGACAGTATCAAAAGCCTTACTAAGTCACAATATACCACATTTACTGCTTCCCCCATCCACAAGGCTTGTTACCCTGTCGAAGAATGTATACATATAGATTTCACATAGATTACCCTCCTCCAACACACATACATGCTCAGAAAAATGCTGTGTAGCAAGTCCAATAGTGCTCCATGTATGCTATTAATTACCCTGTATGTGTGGATTTATGTTAGCTCTGGAACGATGTTTTCAGTAATGCACATCTTGGTAGCACATTGTGTGATTATCATACATTCAGTAAGACAGTCAATTAACAGAAATCATATCCATAGCTATAACACGTACCTAATCTATACAGAGACAAATCTATTATCTGAACGTGATCCCATATGCCTGAACATCATGCAGTACATATCACAATGTCAGTATAATATCTGTATTACAACATATATTGCATTTAGTGCCAGGCCATCCTACAAAGTCTTTCAAGAAGCAGTCTTCCCACATTAGTACACCTCTTTCCCGATATAACACTGTCCTCGGGAGCCAAAAAAGCTTACCGCATTATAGGTGAAACTGCGTTATATCGAACTTGCTTTAATCCAATGGAGCACGCAGCCCCCCTGCCCGCCCCTCCCGGAGCGCTGCTTTACCACGTTATAGCCGAATTTGTGTTATATCGGGTCACGTTATATCGGGATAGAGGTGTATTTGCTGATGCCAGCCCATGTGCAAATTGGAAAAGAGTTCCTATTCTGCTTTTGGAGGGGAGGACACACTATATCTATGTATCTCCTGAAGTGTATGAGATTTGACTGTGGCCACTTCTCTTTTTAGAAAGACAATGTTCTTCTTTGAGTGATTGTTCATGTCCATTCCAAGCAGGTGTGTGCGCGCCGCGTGCACGCCAGCCGGAAGATTTTTACTATAGCAGCGTCCGTAGGGTCGGCTTCGGCGCTCCCTGGAGTGGCGCCGTCATGGCGCTGTATATAGGGGCCAGCTGACCCTCCACCCCCTCAGTTCCTTCTTACCGCCGGTGACGGCTAGCTGGAACTTCGCTTGCTCTTCAGCAATCGTGGCAGTGTTCCGTCGTTGTTGTAAATAGTTAGTTAGCTTGTTGTTTAGCGTTAGTTTAGTTAGATAGTAGTTGGGGGGGGGGGTTTCCCCAAGTTTTCGTCACCCCGCTGGGGCATGCCCGGGTCCCCAGGGTTCAGACTCTGCAGGGACTGCGGGAAATTCATGCCGAAGAGTGACCCGCACTCTTCGTGCTTAAGATGCCTGGGGAGAGCCACCAAAGAGATAGATGCAGTATCTGCAGGGGTTTTCGCCCCAGGACTCTCAAAGATAGAGAGCAGAGACTTAAAGTCCTCCTAATGGAGGTGGCCCTGCGTCCACAATCAGATCCCGGGCCTACCGAGCTGGCACCCAGCACTTCATCCTCAGCGCGCAGTGCCCCGGCACTGGCGCTAAGTCGTGAAGCCAAGGCCCCCAAACTCCGGCACCGGAGAGAATCGGCACCCAAGAAATCAGCCTCAATGAGACACCGTTCCCCATCGCCAGTGCCGGTTAAAAAGAAGAGGCCGGTGAGGGAACATTCCCCCCACCGGGACTCTAAGGGGCCGTCGCCATCCACGAGTGCTACGGGACAGTCTGCGCCGCAGACCCATTCAGCCATCCCGTTGACTCCCGCCCCGGAGAGGGTATGATCAAGTATGGACAGGCCAAGATCCCCGGATATTATGGAAGAAGTGCGCCTCCCATCGACGCCGGAGGCGTTCAAGGCCGCCTCAGACCTCTTGAGCCTCCCGGTGCTGGCGTCGCCGCACTGGTGCCGAGAACCTCTGGCTACCGTTCGACCCCCAGTTTCAATCTAGGGGCAAACCGGCAATGCTCTCGCCGCGCTCCCCGCGCCATGCCACTCTAGCGGCACCGGTGCAAACAGCACCCTCTCCGCTCTGGCGGCACCGGTCCCCGGCGATAGTGGATACCGTGCCTCCTATGTCCTCGTACTCAGAGACCTCGGAGGTGGACTCATACCGCTCTAACAGATCGAGGAGCAAGCGATCGTCCTCACGTACAAGTACCCAACCGTACCCGCTGCAGTGGCAGCAGCAGTGGCAACCGCCCCCGCAGTGGCCATTCTGGACACCATGGGCCTACCACCAGTCAGTGAGTCAGGCGTATGGAGCCCGCTCACGAGCCGCATCTGTCTCTTCGACGTTGGCGGCCCCGCCGCTAATGCCACCACCACCGGCACCGCCGTCTGACAGGAGTGTGCCACAAAGGGACACGGCACCGCCTAGCCAGACAACAGCACCGACGGGGACCTTGCTCCCAACGCCGCAGGCACTGTCCAGCACGCCTTGTCTCTCGGTGTCGACCCCGGTACCGGCCGCGGTGCCACATCCTGAGTCCGCACCGGCTGCGCAACCTGAGTATCGTGTGCCGCAGGCCCTTGTAGAGGGAGAGGGGGTAGGTGAAGGCCCTCTTCAGGGGATCTCTTCCTTCTCATCTCCGGATGAGGCAGTTGTGGGAACTTCAGCGGCACCGGCCCTAGAGGACAATAGGATCCTCCAACAGCTGCTTACTCGAGCAGCACAGAGCCTCTCGATCCAGACTGAGAAGATTGAGGTGGATACAGATCTGGTGGTGGACATCCTGACCCCGTCTGGCCCATCCAGGGTAGCCCTACCTCTCATAAAGATCATTACTGACACAACCCGCACCTTGTGGCAAACTCCAGCCTCAGTGGCCCCTACGGCTAAAAGGACTGAGAGGCGATATTTTGTTCCATCCAAGGGCTATGAACATCTTTATACACACCCTCCCCCGGACTCCCTAGTGGTAGATGCGGCCAACCAGAGGGAGCGCCAGTGGTTCCAGGGAGCTACCTCCAAAAATAGAGATGCCAAAAAGTTGGACCTGTTCAGGCGGAAGGTATATTTGACGGGGGATCTGCAGTTGCGCATTGCCAATCCGCAAGCCATAGTGAGCCGGTATGGACACAACACGTGCTCGGCTTTGTCTAGGTTCGCGGACCTCCTTCCACAGGAGTCGCGAACCAAGTTTTCAGTCCTGGTTGAAGAAGGAAGATTGATTACCCGGGCTTCCCTCCAGGCGGCCTTGGACGCGGCCGATTCAGCCTCACGCACATTGGCGACTGGTCTGGTCATGAGGCGCGGAGCCTGGCTTCAAGTTTCCGGCCTCCCACATGAGGTCAAACAAATGATCCAAGACCTCCCCTTCGAAGGACCCATGCTCTTCTCGGAGAAGACGGATAAGAGGCTTCATAGCCTAAAGGATTCACGGACCACGCTCCGTTCATTAGGCCTACACACCCCGGTCACCCAGCATAGGCAGTTCAGGCCACCACAGGCCCCACGGCCGTACCAGCCTCAAAATCGAGGGGATGCCTTGCGCAGAAGGGCAAGGACGGGCAGAAGGAGGCAACAACAGCAGCTCTTCGGCCAGTCATCTGCCCAACCAAGGCCTACACAGGGGTCTAGACCACCATTTTGATGGCTTGGTGGAGGACGACCTCCCAGTCAGAACCCTGGATCCGTCCAACCTTACCTTCTCATCACGTCGGTCCCCCTTCTATCGTGCATGGGCCCGAATCACATCGGACACTTGGGTGCTTCGCACGGTAGAGAGGAGATATTCTATCCAGTTCTCCTCCCTCCCGCCCCACCAGCCCCCCTCCCCGTTCCTCTTCAGGGACCCCTCTCACGAGCAACTTCTACTTCAAGAAGTTCAGTCCCTCCTCGCAGCAGGGGCAGTAGAGGAGGTTCCTCAGGAGCTATGGGGCAGGGGCTTCTATTCTCGCTATTTCCTAATACCGAAAGCGAAAGGGGGCCTCAGACCTATTCTGGACTTGCAGCATCTCAACAAGTTTGTAAAGAAGCTCAAGTTCCGCATGGTCTCCCTGTCCTTCATCATTCCTTCCATGGATCCAGGAGACTGGTATGCTGCCCTCGACTTAAAGGACACATACTTTCACATTGCGATAATCCCTCAGCACAGGCGTTACCTCAGGATTGTCATGGGCAATGCTCATCTACAATTTATGGTTCTGCCCTTTGGTCTGTCAACAGCCCCAAGGGTCTTCACGAAGTGCATGGCAGTCGTGGAAGCCTTCCTGCACAGGCAGGGGATTCAGGCGTTTCCCTACCTGGACGATTGGCTCATCAAGGGCAGGACCAAGGCGCAGGTGAATGAGCCCCTCATGGTATGGCTGATGTGATTAGGTCCTATGATGAGACCTAATCACATCAGCCATACCATGAGGGGCTCGTTCACCTGCACATCTACCAATGTGATATATGCT